AAACCAGCCAACCAGCTGCATAGTTAGTGCTTGAAAATGTGTAACAATTCTGTAGCTGATTTCTATGCAGCTTTAATTTGAATGTGTTGCCAGGGCCCTAGTTAATACATAGCTCAGATAAATCCAGTTTCCTTTAGAAACCGCTCTTTCTATTAACAATGCTGTTTTGTAGTCAAACTGCAGACCCTCATGCAGTATCAAACACATTCTGGCAAAATCCTTCATCTAGTAGGTACCAAACATGTATGTGCGTTTTTTGGATGAGTAAGAATCCTGTTGTGTTCCTATCTTCAGCCAGACCCAGAAAATACAAGGGTCAACATCTTGGGGCCATCTCCAGGCCTGGTGAAATTCCTCTTAAGTCAATAAATAAGTATAGCATGACTGGCTTGTCCTTAGCATGCTAAGGACAGGAACTGAAAGATGTATGTTGTTCTGTTTATTCACCCATCTGTGATGTTTTCTGTGGTATCCCTTGTATCTGGAATGCTCTCTCTGCACTGATTCCTATCACTTATCTTCAGATCCCTCCTTAAGACTTAGCCTGGGAAGGGAGAAACTAACCTTGTTTATGTCAGAGCAAATACGTGGATTTGAGGAACATTGCATAAGTCTGGATCAGCAAATGCATTTGTGGTTATAGGAACTGAAGGGTTCCTACAGCTGAAGGCTTCTGCAGGACCCTGGAACAGCTGACCCCGGGGGCAGCACACAGGCACAGGGCTATTTTGGTATAGCTTTTTGGGACTTTTCAATTTTGCCCCAAACGTCCAGTAATTGTAGTGAAGGTTTGGGCTCTGTGGATTTGGTGGTTGTAGATGCAGGAAGCCCTGATTTCAATTCCCTGCTTCCCCACAGGCTTCCTGTATAACCTCAGGGCATGCCACCTCCAGTCAGATTTTTTTAAAGGTATTTAGGTGCCTAAAGGCACAGATAGGGATCTAGTGGGAAACCACTGGGACTTTTGGCACGTTTGAAAATCCCACAAAGTTGTCAAATGCCCTGAGAGTTGCCTGTCTCCCTGAGAAAGACTTTGTGTTTCAGTCACCCATCTGCAGTGTACGAGGCATCGCTAATTTTGAGATACTCAACTACCATAGCATTGAGGGATGTGAATGAACTTCTGATCTGTGCATGAGCAGTGTAGGATTGGACCTGTCGCCTGCTTAATTAAAAACAAAAGTCAGAAATTACATTTTTGTGGTTGGTGATGCTTATTTAGCTTTGTGACTGAGTTTTGCACAACTCTGCTCACTAAGGACTCAAGCTACTTTGTTACTATTTTTATTACAGCAGTACCTAGAGCTCAGCCAAATCTGGGGTTTATACTAGGGGCGGTATAAACACACATAAATTGGTGGTCCTTGCTGCTGTCTCGTCAGACACAGGTTGTGAAAGAAGTATCATTATCCTCATTTTACAGATGGGGATCTGACATACAGTCAAGTAAGGGAAAGCTACAGCATTCTGGGATACCTGAGTGCAATTCTTATCTCTGCTGTAGCCCAGTGCCTGGGCCACAAGACTATCCTGGGTTAGTGGGAAATCTGCCATTGAGTAAAATGGGATTAGGGGGGCTGACCCTATCCAGTGTTGAATGCTTCCTCCATTCTGCGCTGTGCACTCTGTTTCTTACCTGTGACTTGAAAGGGAACTGACAAGCACTGAGGATTGGCAGGATCCTGCCTTTGATTTCAGTGGGACTCCCTCCATGAGCACAGAGCATCACAAGAGCAGATCTGACGGCTGGATCAGGCCGGAGGTTGTCCTTGAGCCAGGATGTTGCCTTCATCATTATATAAAAGAACAAATAAAATGCTTCCCAGAGATATGAGACCCAACTATTCTCTGAAGCTGATATGAATCAGGGATAACTTCAAAGTCCCTGGTGTAAATAGGATACAAATAAGAGAATCGTGTCCATTTTGGTCCAGTCCTGAAGGTTTTACTCAGTCAACACTGCCTTTGAAGTCTATGGATCAGGCCCTTATTGGGTGAGAGGAGGAGCTGTCCATCTGGGATACTTCAAATGGCTGAGATGTAATATTAAAATAATGACGAGCCTGTAAAATACATAAAGGGGACTATGCAACAGCTTCTCGTTGTTTCTGGTTTGGGCTTTTATTTGTCTAGTCTGTTTCTTATATGCCTTCACATTGACTTTATGCATAGAGATATAACACTGTCAAGAACTGCAAAGCCAAGACTTTTAAACAATGAAATGAATACAATGCCATAATCGAGAACAGAAAAAATGGACATTTTAACAACTTCTTGGCTTTCATTTTGCATCTTCTGTGTACAACTTCGCATTGGATTGGTACTGAGGCATCTACGTGCTTTCAAGACTAGCAACATGCTGGGACATTTCAAATGAGAGATTTTATAATACATAATACCAGCAACAATAACAACTCTTTTCTTAGTAGGTAACACTTAGATATTAATGCTTGTCCCCTGGCTTTTGTTTAGTCTGCTTTGTGGGTGGTGTTGGATTGATCTTTATATTGTATGGGGAAATATGGTGCTGTCAGATGTAACATTTCAGCTGAGTAGCGCTTGAAAGTAAACAATAAATAATAATAACAATTAATCTAAAAACAGACATTACAACCATTTATTTTTTCCCGTTGGTTTAGTCTATTCCAGAACGACTGCCTTGGTGTTTAGAGGTTTACGTGCTGGCAGAAAGTGTTGGCGAGATGGGATATCATTTGTTTCTATCTGACTATCAAATTAGATGGACGCTCTGTCTGTCTACTTCTCTCGCAGATCTGTTACACAAAAAACTATCTGATTGTCTGTCTATCGTAACTCAGTCATCTGACTGCCCGATAGTCTGTTTAGTAGCAGTGCAGTAGCTGTGATGGCTAAGGGAATACAAGAGACGTAGGATGCATGTACTAGTTTCTTTTATTGGACCCCTTCTGTGATCGGGAGAGATGTTAGCCAAGCCTTTTTGGGCACCCGAGGGGCTTTTGTGCCCTGAAGCTTACTTAACCTATCTCCCAGCTAGATGTTGGCCCCATCACACTTCGCCCAAAGGAAATGCTATTTTTGTGACTGTCCATCAACCATCCATCATGTAGCTATCTGACTTGGATGATATCATATATATTATATATATACGATACCATGATATCATATATATATAGCATCTATATTAGATATTATCAAAATACAATAGATGTATAGCTGTCCGCCTGTCCAATGTGATAGATAGAAACAGATGGCAATGGAGTCAGACAGAATCAGTTTCCCTAATACCGTGTTTCCCAGACTTTTGATACCTGGGGCACACTTTGCTCATCCACCCACGAAATTTGGAAACTTGGCAGTGGGGCCCAGTGGCAGTGTTAATTGTCGTGGCTCTGCCCCTGTCATTCTGGACCCCAGGGGAGCCACGCAGGCTGGATCGAATACCGTTGGTTTGCTGCACACTTCCACCTCTCTCGGGGTGCAGCATTTGGGAGTCACTGGTCTGACAGAGGTTCCCGACCATGGTGCCCTGCTGTGACACCCTGCGGCGCCGCAGGAGCCTGTCAAGAGGGCAGCTCAAAATTAGCGCTGGTAGGTGAGGTGCACATGTCAAAACTTTCTGGGGTCTTTCTGGGGGCATTACCTGAGGGAGGGGGTCTTTCTGGGGTGTTGTCTGTGGGGGGGTGTTTTTCTTGGGAGTTATCTGGGGGCATTGTCTGGGAAGGGTCCCTGGGGGTCTCTTTCTGGGGGCATTGTCTAGGCTAGGAGGTGTTTCTGGAGGGGGTCTTTCTACGGAGGTTTCTGGGCTGTTGTCGGGGGTCTCTGGGGGTTTCTTTCTGGGGGCATGTTTGGGGGTGTCTGGGGGATCTTTCTGGGGTGTCGGGGGTTTCTGGGGG